AATAGTTTTTTAGCACAAATAAAATAAAATGAATTCAACAAAAAGAATAGCCTTTTTTTGTGCTTTACTTTTGAAGTAATTAACTTCAAATTATGTAATAAAAAAAGAAAAAAAAGTTGAGAAGTGGAAGTATTCACTTAGCAAAAAGCTAGCTAGCTAGTTAGCTAGCTAGCCAGCTAGCTATGCTCGAGAATTATCCAAAAGAAATTATTTGCATCAATTGAAAGCTTTTATAAATTGATAGCTCCAATTTTTCATCCATTATTTTTCCTGCCATTCCAATTGCTTACTTTTATTTTTACTTCAATTCAGTCGTCAGCTTTTCAGCGCTTGCTCAATTATTTTTATCATAACTTGATGATGTGTAAATTTGTATTTGAAATTGTTTACTGAAAAAGTATTTTTAAAATCATTTGATCTATTTTAGCGCTATTTTGTATATTTCAGGTCATTTAAAATTGCTAGAGATTTAAAAATTTGCAATTTGTAGTCAAAATTTGATAAGTTTTAATAAATTAGCACAAATTACGGTGTATTCATGGCTAACTTCAAATATTGCACTAATTTATAGCGCAAATAAAAGTTATTTTTAAATTTTGTATTTTCTGTTGCTTAGCTGCATATGTTTTGTTTATAAAAAATTTTAAAGCATTTTAAGAAATTTTTCTATTTAAATTATAATATAATTTAATTTTCAAAACTGGTAAGTAATTTTAGATGCTTTGTATCGCTGAGAAATATCTCCGCAAAAAAAAATAATAATAATAATACTTATGGCTTAGGCTTAAAATAGTTACAGATATTTCAAGTGATTTGAATTATGCATAAGTTTTTAACTTCAATTCTAAATAAAGTTTTTAGCTTTACTTAAAAGTTTTCAAACTTTCGTCTATTCCTCACAAATTTGCTCTTTCGGAAATACGTTCTTAACAAATGAGCCGTAAAAATGTTTGCAAATAAAAAAAATAGAAACGATTTACTTACTTAAACTTTTCTTTGGTATGTTCTGCTTGTCATATTAGCAAAGTTAACTATCTTCAGAAGCTTTACTACTTTCTGACGATAGCAATCAGACATTGGGGCAAGAAAATAAAAGTAATTCTTGAATGTTTTTTATTTTGAGAATGGAAGAAAGTCAAAATTAAAATTGACTTGTCAGGTGTTCTGTTCACGTTATTGCGTATGATCCTTAATTTAAATTTATTTTACTTGAAACAATTTGGGTGGCTTGAAGATAGCACTCAAACTCTTTTAAAATAAGAGGATTCAAAGCAGAAAGTGACTAAGTCTAATCTAATTGATAAATATATTTTTTTGACAATAGCTAAGCTAGAAACAGTGTTGTCTTATAAAAGCATGAAATCGTACGTAATAAACTATTTATCAATGAATAGAGAAAATAATAATAATACGTACGCAATAATCTACTTTAATCTGAGTAATTTATTACGTACGTATTATTGTAACATAAATATTGAGTTTGATTGTAAGTTAATTGCTAATTTGCTAAAAAGTGAGATAGATATGTTTAGAGTAAAAAACAAAATATTACAGTCTTCTGAATTATATTTGTGCTATAAATGCTCAAAACAAACTATTTATCAATGAATATAACTAAATGTGGCATATTTTTAAAAGTAAATTCACTACAAA